ACAGCATTTTGCCTACTAAGGCAAGCCAACACCACCACCTGTATTTACTTCCCAGTCCAAGCTGTCATGCTGATAATGATAAAGAATCACTTTTCCTACATCTCCTATACTTTTCCTACACTCGTTTCCCTGCTGTGGTTTGCTCTAAGATAAGTTGTTTTCTAAATTGCTTTCCCCAGGTAAAAACATTGACTGCAAGATGAAAGGCCGTGTTTAAGTTGATGATGGGAGAGTAAGGAAGAGTTAAGCCATTTTGGGGCATGTTACATGCAGGGGAGCCCCTCAAGATGGGGCAAGAAGGGACATACAGCTGCAGGCACTGCTGCTAGTTAGCAGGATGGTGTCCTGCTTTAGTATAGATGTGGAAGAGCAACAACAATTGTAAAGTTGGTTGTGCAAAGATGGCTTATTTTGTAATGCGAATAACAAAACAGAGTGCTCTTTGCTTTAAATTCTGTTCTGGGAGAAAGTCCCCTGCAAAGTTAGTAGGACTGCATGAATTTTTCTGGCCCCAACAGTTTCAAATCATTGCAACTGATACTTTAAGATGACTACAGCAATACGAAATCTCTCTCTGAACCCTCTTGGGGCAACTTACTTGCTCCAAAACTTTAGAACTGTGTGTGCTTATATAACTCTGTGTGCCCACAGAGGTCATGTTTTTTCTGTTCTCTTGCACTATGATAAACATCTGGGCCATACAACACATTTGATTTTTTTTTTTTAAACTCCTGGGGCACATCTGATCTGAGCAGGAGCAGGGCTGTAGGAGACAGCTCAGAAAAGTAGGTTTGAGGCTGCAAACATACTGCCTGTGGTTGGATGTGATCCTGGAGGAAAATTAGAGGATTTACAGCCTGGATGTTGTTTTAGCACATTGTGTGGGTAAGCAAATAACCTGGAAAGAGAGTCCTAACTGCATCTGCCATGGTAGCTGTCAGTTGAAAAGACGGAAAAAATCCTGCATGTCCTACACACAGGGACTGTACAAGAGGACAAACTGTTAGGGGACCTCTTTTGCCACGGACAGCTGAGGAGGCTTTTGTGCTACCCTAGGTATTGCCTGCCAAGGCAAATCCCATGATTGGAGACCATTGTACATTTCAGGTCAGGAACATTTTCCATGGAGTCTTGGCAGTACCTTGAAGTAGTTCTGAGTATCGCTGTAGCATGGCTTGCAGAAAGAGCCCGTTCCTCCATGCAAGGGTAGCTATTGTGACTTCAGCGATGCTCCCGTCTTTCTCTGGCACCTTCTTCTCTCCTTTTCCTGCTCCCCTCTGGGATGTATGTATGTCCCCTTGCCCCCTCTACTCCATCAGCTTAGAAACTGCTTGCCTGCTGCTGGGTTTGCTCCAGTTGTCACCCTCTTTCCAATGCAAGTGGCTTGTTCTAGCAACTCTGCAGGGCTCACAGCATGAATGGTGATGATAAAGGATAGGTGACATCAGATACATACAGGCCTTGCTGCCTCATATTAAACTGTTGCACATAGACCAAAGTGCTGGCATGTAACCAGGATAGATGACATTTGGGCAAGATGACCCAGAGCGGGAAGGGTGCCCAGGCCAGGCCAACACGAAACAATTGGCGTGGGATAGCGGGAGGACCGCCAGCAGCAGAGCGGGCGGGAAGGCTCCCGTATGAACCTGAAAGCAAACAAACTCACTGCCAAGTAGCGCTACTCCTGCTCCAAGGAGGATCACTTATTGCAGTTTGAATTATTAGCTCATTTGTTGTAGTAAAACACTGTGTGGACACAAGGCGCTGTGAGGACACCAAACTAAAATTACATCTGTGTGCAAAAAAAGGCCCAGGAGTATATTTGTATGCCTGCTTTGCTATGGAACTGTTATTCAAAGCACAATATAAATCATTATGTAAAAATCAAAATACCTTTGGTCTCTGCAATGTACCGGACATCAAAGCACAAGTTCAGTAAGTTAAGCAGAATTGCTAATACTTGATGCTCAAGTAGATCTTCCGTAGTATCTAATTTATACTGCTCTTAACATATAGGGCATTTGCTTTGGCAAATGAACTTAGCAATGTTTTGTGCTTTCCCAGCGCACAACCATTGTACTGGCTCAGTAAATCACTGAAACAAAATCACTGCTTTAGGGGAACCTTCCCTTCTTTCTCCATTTGCTGCACCTTCCCAACTTAAAGAAAAAATTAAGTGGAATAATTTAACACCTGGACATTTTTTTTCTGCGTCATCTGACCAATTTAAAGTAGCTGTACAAAACACTAATCTAAAATCCTGCATTGTAGGATAGGGAGTCTTGGTAAGTAACGATAAGCAACCTTTTTATGTGTGACTGGGGCTTGAGACTGTCCCCAAGCCATGGACTTGTTGGAATCTGGGGCCTCTTTGGTTTTCTTTCAGGCTTGAAAAACACACACTGGGGACTCTAGCATATACACATAAATCTTGTCAGTTAAATACAGATTAACGGGAATCAGCGGGGAGTAAAAATACTTCATTTTTTTTATGGTAAACACCATAAAACATGAAATACTTAACTTCAGTTTTATAGCAAAAACTAAGTCCTGCCATCCCCACCCAGCACTCGCTTCCTTCTTTTTTAGGCATTTGGTTTTCTTTGCAGCTTAAGTATTATTCCTAGTAAGCAATATTCTTTCCCCATACTTCCCTAAACTATATACGAAATACCAATTTCATATGCTCTCAGTGAAGTCCTACTCAGTGAGTTTTACTAACAACTTCCCAACTAATAGTGTTTTGATGTCTCAGTTTGTGTTCTCTGTTACAGAAGTCCAGTCTGATTTCTTAATCTTTGTAGAAATGGAAAGGGATTTTTTTGTAGGATTACACCAGATGGTGAGAAAAAGGAACAGAAAAGGACATAAGGTAATTTTCTAGGTAGTCTAACAGGTCCGTAAGTCAAGGTGGCATATGCTTGTAGCAGCTTAAGACCTAACAGCATAAATCTCTCGCATCCACATAAAGTTGGGATCCTTAATACCCATATCACCTTTGAAAATGCTGTGAAGGATTTAACAAAAATGCTTTTGGTCACTTAGGCCAAGTTAAAAGATTGTACTCGCAGCCCACCCACTGGGACACAAAAATGCACTGCTTCAAACCTCTGTGCAGGTAATATGTGACTACAGAGGCTGAACTACTTGGAAGATAACCTCAGCTATGCTAGGAGAAAGAAAAGCAAAGATAATGGAAAAGAAACAGCTATAATAACTATCTGTAAGCACACGTGGCCTCTACTTCAGCACCCATAAAACTTAAAAGGATAAAAGAAAAGGAAATTGCTTTCAAAATAGCAAAGACAATTTTATAAACATTTCTTCTTATCCTTTTATACGGTGTTGGAGTTGTTGCCCTGTTTCTGGTATTAGGAGTGCTGTGTGTATTAGCTTTTAGCGAGAAGAGAGGTATAAACCAGGAAAGTCTTCCTTCTCTTTCTGTTCTAGCCTGCATATGCCCATGCAGCAAAAGCGTACATTTAAAAGTGTATTTTTTTTTTTCCTTAAGCAGCCCTATTGAAATGGTCACTCGGCTCTTCGACCAGCCCAAGGGTGCCAGTAGTATTGTCCTGCACATAAAACCAGCTTGCACTGCCTGGGCTACATTTCATCCTGTCCCATGGCTGTGAACAGGGGTCTGTCCTCGTTCTGAGCAGCTGTGTGGCTGTACAAAGCAATGATCCCATTTGAAATCAGTGAAGAAATCCAACAGTGACCACAGTGGCTTCCCTGGACCAGGCTTAGGTTTTGCCCTTTTGCAACCAGCATAGCTTTAGGCTATCAATAGCTTTATAGCTACTGCAAGTTACTTAAGCGAGGGCATAGTTTGACTGTCCTTCCCTTGGAATGCAATGCCAAGTTACACATCCGTGTCCCTCCTAAGGCTTGTTTCCCTCCCAGAGTGGTACCAAGGCTCTTTTCTTTTAACTGGATTGGATCCCAAACCCAAATCATGGTGCAGCCCCAACACGTTCCCGGGAGGAGCCAAGAGGTGCCGCAGCTGGGAGCTGCTCGAGAAACCCCAAGGGCACTGCGGCACCTGCAGCAGTTTTAAACATGTGGAATGAAAACCTGCTTTGCTGCCTAATACGTATCTTCTTAAAGAACTTAATGGAACTAAAAGGAGGAATTTGCTGCAACCTAAGAGTCATTTGTGCCTTTGAAACTCATCCTGAGTTTTGCAAACTTTTAGTCATTTTAGAAGAGCTGCACTCAATTCAAATCCTGAACTGCACTGGGTGTAAATTGTTTCTCTCCTAGGAAAAGAGAACAATGGTGTGTACTTCACAGCTTTCAGCTGCAGATTTCACCCTGGCCTCAACATGAGCCTTGTATAAATTCAGAGCTCACCAATTGTTACGGCTTTATCAAGAACCTTATTAGTGATCATTAAAAATAATCTTGCTTAGAAGGGGGCTGCTGTGTGCAAAGCCCATCTTTCCTATTTACTTTGTGACTATTAATGTTTTTTTTTAATGTTTATACATTAGTGCAAGGAATAGTGTTAGCATAATTCTAGTGTAAAATAAAACCAGCTGTATCCATTATAAGTGCATTACTGCCAGGAACTGTAAATATGTTTATGCCTGATAGCCTTTTGACTCAATAATATCCTGCTATCTCTGTTGGGCAGGCAAGTTTTTAAACCAAGAAAAGACAGGTTATGATTTTCATAACCAAACTGTGTTTCTTTTTGAAGTATGTTATCTAAATTCAAATTTTAAGAAGGTCATTAAAAAAATCTGTCTGTGATTTTAAAGGAGAACAATTGAAATGTCATCTTCAAAGTGGTGGCAAGAAGGTACAATGTGCACTAAGAACAAGTAATTCCTCCCAGATATACACATACGCAGACAAACCCTGCCATATCATACCATACAAACAATTTTAATTGTGTAGTTACAGTCAATAACCACTCCTAGTCAGAACATTTCTGCATAAAGAAAATTGTGATACACTTATAAAAACAGCCAGCTGTAACAAAATAACTGGTGTTTTCATAGCAATAAACTCATAAAAAAGAAATACACCTTTATACAGAAAATTTATACAGCTGTAGCTTTAAAATTGATTGTAAACCAAAGGAAGACACATTGCAAACATCAATTATTTTCACATTAATTGCATAAGTTTCTAAGGTGATCTATTAGTTTTATTTACCTAAGCTTATTTGCATGATAGTAAAAATTGCATACAACAATAAGAGTGAAGCTTATAGTATGAATTGCTTGGATAACATAGAGCACTTTTTATAGGCAACTGTGTAAAGCACATTTTCTCTATTTAAAACTTTTAAGACACTTTGTTTTACTGCCCATCAAAATACATTTATAAATAGAAAAAAAAATCAGTATGATAACAAGAGAAGCAATATTACATTTAACGGAAACTTCCAAAAAAATTAATTACAACATGATGCTGCAGGATCTACAAATAAATAATGAGGACTAAATTGTGTTTCACATTTTCTTTTTCATTTTCTTTAAAACCATGTAACAATGAGAATGGAAAAAAAAATACAGTGACCTTTATTTCCAAAAGAAAACAAATCTGAATTACGGCAGTGCCATATAATACAAGGCATTTGTTGGCATATGTTATCTTTAAACTGCATTCCACAGTCTATAGTTCTTTTGTAACATACAATAGAACAAGAGTAACAAACTCTTTTTATTTTATTTTTTTAAATAAATGTGAGTTTCCAAAGATCAAGTGTGGAGTGCTACAGTAATAATTAAAAAACGAGAACAAAACAGAAACAAAAAACAGTAAATCACAAAAGTTGTAATGCTTGTCTGAAGGCTCCAGAATCAAAATCACTGGTATCATGCTTATTGGGTACACTCACAGTGTATCCAGTGAACACAAATTAATATCAAACAATCCTCAACGCTTCATCTGTTGCTGCGAAGCAGTTTGTAAAACAGAGTAAAACATCTAGTGCAGTCTGCATTATCCTTTTTTTCAACTTTTGTGCAAGTTTTGGAAGATTCATTGGCCAAACAATGAATAATAAAGGTTTTTGACAGAACGCAAGATGGAATTTTCATTTCATTAGTAAATACCAGTGGCACTGTTGAAAGAAAATAATACTTTTAGATCAGTCTTTCAATTCAGCATTAATTTCTGTGTTCCCTTCTACCGATAACTCTTCTTCTAGTTTAACTGAAAAAAGCGTGTTTGCATTTTTGTCTTGGATGCTGTCTTCTAAATCCTTGAGCAATTCTTCTTCCTTGTACTCTGCAACATCCACCTCCAAACCAGAATTGTCCTTCAGCTTCCCATGGTGCTTGAGATAGTATCGCTGGTTCTGAAAGAACTTGATAATGGTGTACTTGGGCAGGTCAAGCTGAGCAGAGAGAGTCTGGATTGCTTCTTCATCTGGATACAGGCCTACATCTTGTATGAAACTCTGTAGAATCCCTAGGGCTTCAACAGAAATCTTTGTTCGCGGTCGGGGTTTCTGACGATTTTCATCCTCAGATTCAGCTGGTGATGCTACTGTCGGTTGCCTTGGGGGTAGTCTGGGACCTGGTTGCTGTTGCTGTTGCTGTTGCTGCTGTTGCTGTTGCTGCTGCTGCTGCTGCTGCAAGACAAAGCACAGCAATTTTTTTGTACATGTATTCTTGCTCAGATTTTGTGTTACCAAAAAATCTGGGGCGGGGGGAGTGGGGAGGAATTGCAAAGCTATAAACAAAGGCTTAGTAAGTTTAAATAACAAAAAAGGGGGCGGGGGGGGAGAGAAAAAGAAAAAAAGGCCCATTATTGGTGAACCAGAATTAAAACAGGAGTTAGAACTCTCTGCATACCTCGCATGTGTCTATATGTGTGTGAGCAGAGACAGGGGATAAAGGGACTGTGGGATACGGACAGAGAGGTGGAAGGAACATTCTGGCTTTGTCTGACTGAAAGCGCCGATGACGTGACATTGGTGCGGTTTAGCTGACAAATTTTAATGAACATGCTCCATGAGTCAAGTGCAGACAAGACAAAATGCTAAGTAGGTGACATAGTATAGGATTAACTTGACCAGCTTAGCCAGAACTGTAGCAAGGGCAAAGTGAGAAAAGTGCCAGATGAGGGCAAATGCACAGGAGCTCTGCCAGCAGCAGCAGCTGCTGCCCAAAAACAAGGGCTGCAAATCTCTAGCAATAGACAGGCTAAGGGACTGGGGCGATCAGGGAGAAGGAGAGCATTTTAGCTAAGTGCGGAAATATCCCACTGCTGATCTGACCTTAGTATGCACTGAAGTCTTGTCAAACTTGCAAACGATACGACAGAATGCGTTAGCTGGAAGCACCTAACGTCGCACTGTCAAACCCGGCCTCGGCAAGGACAAAGAGATCTGGAGGTAGGAAATCTGTATTTCCCCTTCTGGCTCTGACCTCTCTTGCCTGCGGTCTCAGAGAGGGTCTGTCTTGCCTGTGTTCAAGTATCCCAACGTATAAACAGGGAACAAACATATTTACCTGCTTCTGTGTTTGTGCTGGGGATTATTTAGTTAATATTTATAAAGTGCTAAGATGCAAAGCTCTAAGTAAGTTGCACTATTATTATTAGCAGGGAACATGCTGCATTCCAAAAACTCGGGCAATAAAAATGAGCCAGTATGCACATCAGAAGAATACGATAAAGCAAATCACGATGTAAATAATTAACAAGAGCTTAAAATGAAGTTTTGCAAGCATGGATTCAGAAATGTTCTTAAAAGGTGAGGCACTGAGCCCTAGGGACAGAAATGTTTTTCTCATCTACCACCGGAGTACAGCAGACTATAAGATCATGTTTAAAATCAAAAGTAAATTTATCAGCTACTGTTTTTGTTGACAATTCTTTTGCTTCATAGCACAGGAAGCACTGGTTAGTAAGATATTTTGGATCAGCAAATTTCTTGTCATATGGTACAAACCACCAGTTATTATTAAAAAACAACAGCAGCAAAACAAGCAGTTGCTATCACTACATTTCATTTCCCTTTGCAAGTCTCCCCTCAACATTTTTTTGTGTCGGTAGTGGTTTCCAAGCTTCCAGTTGCAGCTCACTTGCAGACCCCAAGAAGCACAAAATACTGTACAAGTAGTATAAATATTGGAGGAATTATAATTCTGTCCACTTTGTAGTACCACTCATAGTTGTGGAGACTTCACATAGGTCTCAACACCCGGTTTAGAAGCCACTGCTTTAAGTGATCTTCTTATTGTAAGGTCTGACACAAATGCTAGTGGAATTAGGGCTCTTGCCTCATCCCTATTCACATCCTTTCATGTTTTATGGTCTGTGAGCAGTCCCATTCAAGGCTTCAATCCCAAAGAGATTCAAGACTACTCCCAGCACATTAAATTCTTACAAGACTGGAGGCTTTGTACATACAGTTTGAAAACTTGTGTCTTAGCTACGTGTTTATGCATCTACAACAATTACCATGTAGAAGAGCAGAGACAAAACTCAGGCCCAATCTCCCAATCCTTACTCTCTACAAGTCACATTAAGAGATTACAATGCAACTGCTTATGTGAATAATATTTGCGAGATCAAACACACAACTTTTATCAACAAGGCAAAAAAATCTAAGTAAGTGGCATAGTGGTTGAATGTTTATACTGTGCATAACCTTCTCCTTTTATCCCCTTAAGAAGCGATTTTATTAAAAATAATGTACATTTTCAGACAAGTGCTGTTTTATTACTTAATATAGATCTTTTTCTCTCTTTTTGCTAAATCAAACAGCAAGTTTCCAGGCTTTCACAATTATTTTTGTACTTGATATCCTAAGGGATTGTCTTATTCAGTTTGCTTTATCTTTAATATACACTCGTGTTGTTTCTGGCTGCAAGATAACTCTATCCTTCCTAGCTTTGTAAATATTTTTCTGTATAGGTAATACAAATGATACACTGGGTCTCCGCTGAGGTTGGGAAAGGACGGGGTACTATCTGCCCTTTAAGAGGGAGCAGTTAAAAGGCTGACCTCAGGTCTTTTGTGAAAGGGGATTAAAGAGTCCCCAGCTCAGAGAGACAGCAGTCCGCACTGCTGACCTGGGCTACAATATTTAGCAAAACAGCCAGCCACGCTCCCGGTTCATGGTGCCCGTGTGAGCAAAAGGTGGGCGCAGCCCCCGGAGGAGGGGGGCACTGCTGGGGCTGCCCCGGAGCGCGGGGCGGCCGTTTCCAAGCCCCGTGGCGTGGATCCTGCATCCCCTCCTCTCTCTCCCTGACACGGTGCCCTTGTGCCAGCTCACCTGCGGAGCAGCACCCAGCCAAGGTCCAGCGGTCAGCAGGCCTGGTAAGAAAGCGCCTCTATGCTCTCCTTTCCCAAGGGTGGTGGGAGAGGGGCTCTGAAGGAAAAACAAACAAACATTGACTCATCCCAGCCTCGGCTGGGGTTAAAGTGGGATGAGGAATCCCCTTCCCTTCACTCCTACCCGGGTGAGCCACCGCTGTTGAGGGTTCAAGCTTAGCTTTTGAACAGCAGCACAACAAGGTCCTCCCGCTTTGCTGGTAAGGCGTTTGACAACCGGTGCCAAACACCTCTGCCTTTCGGTCTTGACGCCTGTCTGGCCAGGGACAGCCAGCACGGAGGCCTGCCCTGCCCGGCACGCAGCTGCCTCTGTGCCACCGCATTCACGCACGTCTGCGAAAAACCACCGAACCGAAACAAAAACCATGGGTGGTTGCACGCTCTCCTTTGAACTCTGGTGGCGGACGGCAGTGTGCTCTTATCTCGTACCGGGAGACCTGCATTTAGCCTGGCCGGGAGGAAAGAAACACTAATTTCCTTTGCTCCGTTTAAAGCTTTATTTACTTAGCGCTCTGCGGGATTGGCCAAGGTAAACTAACCTGAATCTGTTCTGCTGGCACATGGATAATGTGGGAAGGCCTGTCACCATGGTGATGAACTGCATTGCTTTCTTGTTCATAAATGGCATCGCGTTCAGGCTGAGGAAGACTGAGGAACCTTCGGATCATGGAGAGATTCTCCCAGAGGGTCCTGTTCTCTGGTGAGGGATCTTCTTTCCAACGTAACAGCTCACAGAGCCACCCCTTGAAGATAACACCAGCAAAACATTAGTTTTTTTCCTCACTTCACGAGGGGCAAAACGAGGGTGAAATGTGTATTTTAGAGGCGCTGCGTTCTCTCACACTCTTCCCCAGCAGGAAGGGGCTTTCACTGTACAGGCTGGGCTTAAAGCAAACACCGATACACTGAGAGGCTGCTGCGTTATTTCACAGACCCTCGCCAACCACCAGCGTTTTGGAACGCACCTTCCCCTTGGTCCTGCACGACAGCGCTGTTGGTTGTTTGCTTAGAAACAAACTGGTTGATGAAGGCGGAATCCCTTACACGCTCCCCTCCACAGGACAGGGGTTTCACTGACGCCAGTATATTCTCTATGCTGCCTATTTTCTTTTATGCAAGGCTACACCCATCTGAGGGCTTCAACACCATGTTTCAGGAGCCGGTAGATTGTGTGCTGAGCAATTTTTAAAATCCTGGTACTACTACTCAAAACGAGAAAGTACTTCAATTATCTGCCTTGGCTGTAGGGCTGCCTAATGTCCATCATAGCAGTAGAGGAGCTCCCTAATGTCCTTTTAAAAGACAGGAATCCTTTGATTAGATGCAGTCAAGTAATACCTTCTTCCTACCTGCTACAAGTAGAAGTGCCTCTGCAGGTGAACTTACTTCAAGTGATAGATGACTACCTGTTTCAGGATTTTTCTCATGGACCCAGAAAAAAACAGTCTCTCAGTTTTACGTACACTATTACAGTGGGGGGGAGCAAGATACGTCCAAGATTCTGATACACCCTTTATACCATTTCCACATCACAGGACAGCAAGTTGCCCAAGAGCTTACCTACCCTAATTCAGACATGGTTTTGGGATACATACTATCAAGTCACCTACAGAGTCCCGTGCAAGAACTGCAGTGGTTGCTAATTTGCTTCTAGACAACACATATAAGTTAATCTTGAAAATTTAACAATTGTTTTCTTACAACTTCTTAAAATTTAATTGAGGATCTTTTTCTTAATTGTGCACTGGTAGTTTTAAAAGAAGAGTACAAACACTCTAGCTAGCACTGTGTGCATCAGCAGTGATTTTTTTGTATATTAAAATAATTTAGAAACAAAATATCACATGTGTAAAACATGCATAGTTCCTTTCTTTTAGCTTCAAGGATCTGTTTTCAAAACTAGGTCCATGCAATTTTATTTCTTAATGCTGTAGGAAAGATAATTTGACATTTTATTGAATCAACAAATAATTTAAATGTACAGAAGCTTTTAGATCCTTTTTATATGTACTGGTAGTTGAAAAATGGTTTAGCCGGACTAGTTTACTACTAGATACAATAGATACATAGATACATAGATACAATATAGATATGTATTTTCTTGAAGACATTCATATCTTTAGCTAACAGTTAATAAATGCAGTGTAAAAATATTGCCACGATAGGAAGAGGTGAAAGTAAACAAATTATCTTAATGCATTCATATTGTATACGAAAATATTTAGTGAGGTGTGTATAAAAATTTGAAGTATGTTCTCCTGGATATAAGTGGAAAACTGAACAAATGACACAGGAGAAAATGCCCCCAAGAAACAGAACCAATCAAAATGACTAATGTTAGAGAGACGGTGGTAGCAGAGCTGAGAAAGCAAAAATTTAAACGGGGCCAAAATCTGCTGGGTGCTCACTAGGTGTGCTAGGAAGGGTGGGGAGAGGGAGGAGAGCAGTGGCAGCAGAAGAGGCCCCCTGCACCCTGGGGATGGAGCACAGCCCATTCCTTGACCACACATTGAGGGTGGGTGCCAGGTAGTGCCTCAGGGTTTAGCAAGCCGACTGGGAAATGTGGCCAAACGCCTTCATACAGAGCACATAACTTACAGTCTGTCTCAGCTGGAATCATATGGCATATTTTTAAAACAGTAGCAAGGTTCTGTGGATTCTCCCTCCCCATCGTAAGGCACCCTGGGATGTCTTAGCAGGTTAATCTCCTTGCCCCTAACAAAATCAACATGTTGCTCATGGTTCTCTGCCCACCTTGCTTCCACAGGGATACGTGCTGGATTACGCTCAACAGCAGTATTAGTTTTCTGCAGTGAGTTAAAAGAGGTGCAATCAGAAGACATAGGTAGTTTGTTGGGGATGGAGGAGAGAAGAAGATGAAGAGAAACAAATCTAGATCTTTTAATTGAAATGCAGTTCTAAAATTTTTGATTAAAAAACCCCCCCAAACCCACAAACAAAACCCCAGCCTGCCCCGAAGCATAAAAATTGTCCTTTGGCTGTCTGGAGTCTGCACTGCTTCACACTGGACCTCGTTCTAATGGTGGTGAAACAGAGAGCAGAGCTAACTATCACAGCAGTTCAGTGAATGTCAAAAAAAAAAAAGACAAGACAACCTGTTCTCTCCTATGGCACCTCCCTAAGGTATACAGATAGACTGGAAAAGAAATTGCATCATGCATTTAGAAGCTGCACATATTTTGTTCGGTGACCACAAGAATCACAGATCTTTTTGGAAAAAAAGACAGTAGGAACTCTTTTTAAATGTCCAGTAGTAAAAGTAATTCCTAACAATCACATTTTATAATGATTAAACTTATTTCACACAGTTTTTCTTAACTAAGAAATTCCTTTTCCCCTTATTGTCCTTTCTGTTTCTGTCTCTACTAGATCAGACCTTATTTTTATTAATTACTGATGGCTAACATATTTCCAGTATTTTTCTATCAACTTTTGCACTGACATAATACTTCTAATTCCTTATCTAAAAATGATTTGATTAGTTGTAACCTGAAGCATGTCTCTGCTAGCCTTTCAGGGAAGCAGCGAATTTGAGATCCCCAAATCAGATGCTTCTGACACGGTACACAGAATAGGCTGCTATTCTACTAAAATGTCTCCTTTCACTGGGTTCATCAAGTTTTTAAAGAAGTAGACATACTCTCGTGAAACATATGATGGGCAACATGGAAACAACCAACTGAATTATTCTAAAATTACAAGGATAGGAACAATTTTTTGGTCTTCATGGTGTATTTCTGAAAATATTTACGAAAGTTGATCTCCAAATATTCTCAGAAGAGATAGTGAATGGGCAGTAACAGAGGCTGTAGGGGTTTACTTAGTTAAGAGACTACAAACTTTATACCAATATGCCTTCTTTTAGTTCAAAACAAACCAACCAACCCATAAGTATTTCATTTAGTTTCAGGTTCAGAATTCTGCATATGACACAAAGCTCATTCATAAAAGTCAGCTAAATGAGAATGTATGAAATGTTTTTGTAAATTTCAGGAAAACTGATCATACAGACTTTTCTAATGGTGAATTTTAAGTTCTGTAAAACTTGTAAGTTTTGTTAAAGAAGTAGGAACTGCTGCAGTTAATGCAGTTGAATTTATAAGTGAACATAACAAGGCTGATTTTTCTCCTCTTACACTCATTTAGGTCTAGAGCAATTTCTGCCTAGTTCAAACAATTTATTCTGAAGGAGGACTTGGGCCACTGTTTTGAGGGGGGGTGGTGGTGTTTGTCTTTATAGTCTTACAGGAAGTGGAAAGGACCACAAAATAATAAGGAAATATTTATAACTCAGATTAGATCACAACTGGTTTATACAGCATATATAGTACATAGTCAAAAAAACAGCCTTAAAATAATTAAGCTGATATATCTGTGCAGCAAGGCAAACCCCCCAAAACTCTGTAATGACATTGGGAACAACCTTGATTTTAAAACAGAGTAAATTTGCCAGGCAACATTACACTGAATATAAAGAGAGTACAAAGCAAAATATAAACATTAGCCACATGTAAATATGTTTGGAGAACTTTCAGGATGTTACTACTTTTCAAACTGACAAAGTTTAATTTGACACCTTCTGTTCTAAAACCTTTGTTTCTATTCAAAATCACGCCTTTAGCTGCTATCAATCACTATGCTCTCCCTATTACTTAAAATACTGGCATGGGCCCTGGATAAGCTGAAAATGCCATGCAGATGAATTCTGAGATAATATGTTCAAACCTGTTATATACAACACAAATCCTGTAAAGTTATGTATTGTAAACCTACATTTATTGGGAACTAAAAGTCTTAAATCCATCTGCTACAAAGAAAATACTGTTATGCACTTTCAAGTAACCAAGTACCATCTGCAAAGGTCTTGCTACAGTAAGCAAGAAAATGGTGAAAAAAAAAAAAGATGCTAAACCTAAGATATTTAAAATAAATAAGAGTCTTCTGTCTGGTTTTCTGATAGGGATTTAGTAAAGAAACATAAGACATTAGAGGAAAAAAAACTGTGAAAGCCGAACTGCCAAACTATTGCAGAAAAAGCGCAAAGAGGATAACTGCCAAACATTAGACTCTGCAAGACCCATGAGCATGCTTATTTTAAAGAAAGCATCTATGCATTTTATCTATGTATCCAAATGCTATTTTATTCAGTCTGACCTGTGCTGTGTTTAAATAAAATAATCTGCTCTTTCACGTAGAGTCTCTAACAAACCATTTTTGCATCCTGGTTTCTTTCTTATTTAAAGGAAAAAAAAAAAAAGATAATTGAAATCTGCACTTAAGGTGTAAATACCAACCCTAACTAGATCAAAGAGGGCAGCGTTACAGTCATGAAACATGTTCTCTGGGCAAAGCTTTCCAAATCAGCAACAAACACATCTAGTCTGGGAAGAAAGGGCTTCAAGGTGGAGCAACTGAACTCTTTTGTTTGGTGAATTTGTTACAGTGATAAAAATTTGCCAAATGATGAATATTTCTTACAGAATAACTAACAAAGACGCCAACATTTTTTAGCAGAGCTGTAATTTGAATCTAAGAAGGCAAAACATTTTAGAGTATCAATGCTAAGATATGAACAGTTTTTCTTTGGTACAGTATATCTAAGATTATTTTGTATCATTCTCTGGGGCATATAGTGTAATAAAAATACATGGTGTTAAAAGAAATCAGTCTAAATAGGGAGATATTTGATACAAACATTTTAGCAGAAAGCGTGAATTGCATT